GGGAGTTGAAGTCCACTCATCTTAAAGTGGCCAAGTTTGGACAACACTGGTTTAATGTTTTGAGATGCGCTGCATGCCACAAGTGAGATTACTCTAAGAGTAGAAAATCCAAAACAACTCATTACTGAAATCCCAGAAGGAATGCCCTTGCTTCATCTTCTTCTTATTCTAATATGCTACCACAGGGAGGTAGATGAATTCTTGGAAATTTAGCCAGTGGCTAAAAATAAACTGAATTATACCTAGGCTTTAAAAGACCAGTCCCATGTCTTAGGGATAAAATAAATACATAAACTTCTCATCACCACTATGGCAATTAGTCAAAAATTTGGTGGCCAACCTTGAATATTAGGTGTTTATAGTTTTTTGGAATACTGTATTTAAACCTACCCTTTGAGCAAGATTCCTACTCATTGTTTTTCTACAGTTTGAAAATGTCTCAGTGTAACAGAATACAAGCTCCTAACTCCAATTTCCCCAAAGAGCATTCAGATAGCTCTTATCAAAGGCTTTTAGCTCTCTCTCTAGCCTCGCAGCAGAGTAGGCCCAAAACTTCTATAACCTGGCATCACTGCTATTCATGGTTGGCAAGTTATACTTGTTCATTTTCTCCGATTTTTTTAATTAGTATAGTTCCCCACAAAGTGACTTTTAACTTATCCTTCTCACCTCTGTTTCTTTCTTTTCACTGGAACAGAGCTCAGAAATGCTATCCAAGGCCTCTGGGATTCCTGAAGTATCAATTGGGCTGCCAAGATCTTTCATCTCACACTCCATTAAATCTTCTGCTTTCTGGCAAAGAAAACAAATGACAGATGACATTCACTTTCAAGCGTGCAAATATTTATTGTATCTAATGGATATATGTTTTGATTTCCACTTAATGAGCTCCACAATACCAGTCACATTGCACTCAAATCTTCCCTAACCAAAATGATGCCACTGGACCTTTTTCCCTGTATTTCCTACCACTCTCAACTTCCAAACACCACTAGCACAGTTGTGTGATCTCTTTTCAACAGAGAACCTACACTAAACAACCCAGATACATGCCAGACTCTGGGAAAAGGAGGGACAATTATACTAAAAGTACATTCCCTTTCTGTACTTTGCAAGCTTGGAAAAGAGGAGGTGCAATATAAAAACATACTGTAAATGAATGTGCTTCCAGCTGCATCTGACTCACACCAAAATCAGAAAGGTTTTCGGCAACCAGAATGTTTCAGCCAAGTGATACACACTATCTCTGGCCTGCAAACAGTGCTATGGGCCTAGTTGGGGTGTGACTTGTATTTGATGCCATTTTCTTTGTATGCAGTAGATTTCAAATTGATTGATAGAACAATCAATAAGTTCAATTATTACAATAATATTCTGTAAGATTAATTTTTTCTTGATCCTGATATTCCTATGAATTTATTTTCTCTTTTATTACATTTTAATTTTAAAAACTCCAGTTCTATTATAGCTGAATATAAATTTACTCCTGTCGTGATCTGCACCTCTCAGACTATTCTACCCA